CCTCTTTTGGCGAGAGGAGACAACAGGGCTCAAGGAAAAGAGGACAAGGACCAGCAGAAGAGACTGGAGGACTGATGCACATTTTAGTCAGCAGTGATGTATGAATTACAGTTAATAATGGGGGCATACCATTTTCATGTACTCTAGTACACAACTGAGGGATAAAAAAAGCACCGTTCAGAAATGTATTCAGGTGTAAAGATTTTCATGGCAATATGTTCTACCAAGTGATTAAATTATTCCCGATGCTGGTATTTTTTTAAAATTACATATAAACAATGAATCAGCATAACATCAGACAATGAATAATCAGAAAAAGCTTCATTACCCTTAAGGAAGCATATGCAGACTTTAGGGCATATACAGAGCTTTGATGTTTGGGAAAATAAGTCGTATTTTCAAACTCATACAGTCACATAAAGCACATTCAGGGAGAATTTTCAAGTAAACAAAAAACTGATAAAAATAACCTTTTATATATATTACTCTTAAGATTACAGTCCAGGGATCTGCAAACTTTTTCTATAAAGGACCAGAGAGTAAGTATATTTAGTTTGATGGGCCATCCACTCTCTGTTGTAACTACTTACTTCTGCAGCAACAGTATGCAAAAGCAGCCAATGGCGATACAAAAAGGAATGTATGTGGTTGTGTTCCAATCAAACTTCATTCATGGCAGGTCACACATGGTCCCAGAGCTCTAGTCTGCCTATGCTGGGATTCAACTATTAGCTTATCAAGAACAGAGTCTTGATTTTACACATCTCTGTATTCTGCAGTTAATCAAACACAGTACCTAAGACATACTCCATGCTTAACAAAGTTTTAATACATAAGTCACTAGATGAGTCTGTTGAATGACAACAAATTTAAAAATGCTTCAAACCAACTTGACTAAATTAATTCTAGCAAACTCCTTGTTGGCAAATTAGGTATTGCTAATTCATTTACAAAAAATGAGAAAAATACTAAGCCCTTTTACTGCTAAATGTTACTTTGGTGCCAATACATACAATAGTAAATGTAATGTTTTATAAGGACAGATTCTAATTTTCAAAGTCTCTCATATAACAGTATTAGGATGAAAAAGCCAGCAAAACCATCTCATTATAAGTGATTCAGATTATGTAAGATATGTAAGAACAAGGAAGGCACTGCTGAACTAATTATCTGGTGCACACAGATTTCTTCAATTTCCCAATCAGGCAGCATCTTATTCTGTTGATGACGCATACAATTGGGAAAATCTAATCAATCAGATGAGAAAAATATTCTATTTGCATACTGCTATAAGCACATGCTTTTCATCTCCTGAAACCATCACATCTTGACTGAGCCAATTAAACCACATCTGGGTTCAGCTGCGCTTAGACTGACACAGCCTCTGAATGTGTTCAATTAGTCAGCATCATGCTGTAGACTAAGGCAGCAAGAATGTCTTAACTCATTCCTTGGCTGTTACCCAGTTGCTAGAGAGAATCAGGAGTTGGTATGATGTGTGTTACTTTCTTACATGGTAATTTTTTTTTTCTTTTTCTTACTGAAAAGAAAAATGAGTTAATTTTCCAAAAGAGATGTGGATGTCTTCCTCCACAGTCGTGACTTGTGTCGTCAGCCAGCTACTCCCAGCATCTGTCAAGTCCCTGCACTCATGTGCCAGCACCCTTGGCAGGGCTGCTGCTGCTGTACCACCTCTTCCCTCTCCCACGCTGCAGGGATGTTATGGAGAAACAGATTATGACTCTTTCAGAAGGAGACATCCTCCAACATTTGCAATAGGTAAAGTCTGTTTACTGCCTTTGCCATCGTCTTTCAAAGTTTTTCTTTTCTCTCCTTTAGTTTGTTTCTAATTTATTAAACACAGTGCAATGAAATCTCACAAAGAATGTGCTTAGCTTTTCCTTAAATTAAGAAACTGCCTGAAATTATTTTTCTCCCAAATACATACGAAATAAGCATTACTATAAGGAATTTATAAATCTGAGTTGATTACAATATATTAAGACAAAATAAAAACCAAGATCTAGATGGTATCTCAGTTTCATTAAACTCTACAATGAAATTAATTTTTAAGTAATTATATATATAGAAAATATATATGCATATATCATTTATGTACAGGCATATTTTCTCTTCTTCCTGAAACAAATTGCCTATGTGCTTTTTAGAAGCAAATAAAAGTTTAGAGATTCAGTCCTTTGTGACTGACCAGGAATATAACTGATTTGTTTAATTTACAATGAATAATACTTACAGCATCTTTTCCTTTCATTATGCATTCTTCTGTTTTCAGTGCTGTACTAGGCCAGTGTATCTGAAAGAAAAGATAATGGACTATTATGAAACTGCATATAAAAATAAATCACACTAAAAAACCAATTCATTTTTTTCTGTAATTCAATACATTTTACTTTGGTCTGTTTTTGTTGGTTCTATTTTCTTCTTCGAGAGTATCAAGCAAGACTTTATCTTCTTTCCAGTATCATTTGCAAAATTAAAACACGTATCTTTGAGCTTTTATTTTAAGCTATTATTTTCTAATCTCTTTGAAGGCTCATCTCAAGTCTCAGGCCTTTAGAGGCCACCCACACATCAACCAGCACTGCTCTGCACTTAACCTGCCATAACCTCCGCTGTCCAGTCTTTCTCCTGAACTTGTCTGCCCCTCCACATCAGGCACCTCCTTGAGTTCCCTTTCCATTTTTACCATTCAGCAGAGAACCTGGTGTTATGGACTCTCTGTAGCGTTTGCTGCATAAAAGAATAAACGGATGACTCTTTATAATGGCTCACTTCATAATATACCACCAACATCTTTGATTACTTTTTAAAAACACTGTTTAACTCTACCAGTCTCCCACCGGATTTCAGAAAATCTTTGCTATATTTCAAATTTTCTGGTTTCTTCCTTGAAGTGAGAGAATATATCAAATACCGTGTTTTCACCTCCAGTAGTGCCTAGCTCTTTGCTGGAGCCACAGGCAGAAATCAGTAGGCACTTTTTACCCAATTCCAACAATTTTTGACTGTGAAGTGTTTTTTTTCCCCCCAGTGAAAGAAATTGTTTCCTCTATCCTTTTCTTTTCTCCAACTGCTTCTGTTCCCCTTTTTGCTTAAACTATAGGATTAATCATACGACTGGCATAGGTTTCAGATGGCGTGGCATGAAATTGTTCTAATTTTTCTTTCTTTTACTTTATAAACTCACTTGTGGAGGTTTGAGTTTGTTACACTATTCAACTCATGACTCACTATTATTTTTGGTTCTAAAAGGTCCCTCTCATATTTTAATTACCTATTTACTTCCTAGGCTTCCTCCCTTCCTTCTTCTACTTGCATCCCTCCAGGGGGTAATCACTGTCAACTGTCACTGGGAACAGTAACAATTTTTTGTGTGTGATTTGCATATTTTCTTATAAAGTATATATTGCTTTTTGTGTCTCTTTCATTTATGTAAATGGTATTTTTTAATTTATGTAAAGTTTTTCTCATCTTTTTCACTAAGAACTAGGTTTTTTAAGATCCCCATATATAGCCCTATATACACATACAGTCTGTTGTTTCTAACTGCTTTGTAATATTGTAGTATTTCTGTGGCTCCCCCATGTGCCCTTATCTCCTTTGCCAGTGATGGACACGCCAGTTATCTACAAATCTCCACCACATCCAACAATGGTACATCTTTGTACATGTCCATCTGGGATCTGTATCAGAACATCACTGGTATGTATAACCAGGAGCACAATTACTGGGTCTAAGCGAAAGCATATATTTACTCTGTTAATGTAGCACCAGATTGCTCTCCAGAGTGGTGACATGTTTATACTCCACCAGCAGTCCTCACTGACACTTGGCATTCTCAGCTTTCTAATTTTTATACTAAGCACTTCGGATTCAACATTGCATTTCATTCTTACCAGAACTTTACCAAAGCAGTAGTATTGTGTGGGAGCTTTTTTTAAAAAAATGCCCACTTCTCTGTCCAACCCCACAATGCAGATCTATGGCTAATAATCAAGGAATACGGTCCGCTTAAGTAACTGTAGCAACTGGTAAGTTCGCCAATGTTTCCTGTGCCTCAAGACCTTGAGCCTCCTAGTTAACAGTTTATCCCCACAATTGCTGGATCAATCATTCTCCCTGCCCAACTGAAAAGGCTGAGTCAACCCCTCTTCTTGTGTGTCTCTCAGAATTCCACAGGATCACCTTCTCATGGTGACGCAGCATCTTCACAGGTTCTGCTGGTCAGGGGTGATGGATTCTAAGTTGAGCGATGCTGGCTCTCACCAGAACACCCATTGCTTTTTCTTCATTGTTTCCAAAGACCTGCACCTTGGATCCACATGTACTGGTGTACAGGACTCCTAAGAAGCTCTCTATTCCTCTCCTACCTCTATGGCTGCTCTAAGCCATGCAACAACAACACTTCTTTGGATTTTTTGTAGGCAATCATCTTCCATTCTCAAGTTAACATTTTTCGGCAAAGGAGCAGAAATTTCCCAGGAGAATAGACTGGGCCTCTTAAGATATTAATAGTACTTCTAAAAATAGTCTTGCTCCTCAAGATGCGTAAGAGCCTTAGGATCTAGATTGAGGTACAGCTTCCTCCTATCCAGTGTCAATATTTATGTTGTGAAA